ATATATATATATACAGTATATGCGTTTACAATTCAATACAATTCAATACATCTGTATTTATACTGTATAGCGTTTTCACAACTGCTGCAGCTGTAACAAAAAGCTTTACAAAATATTTAAAATAGTACATCCAAGAAATCAGAATATTGATCCATACATAAAGCGCATCGGATTATAAGGGGCACTGTCGGCTTTTGAGAAAATTAATTGCTTTTGGGTGGGCCGTATAGTGTGGAAAATACAGCACTGTACTTTGTATGCCATTGCAACCGCCACTGCTCAGCATCCTCTGTACAGCTCCAAAGCAAGAAAAACATGCGGCCGCCAGCCAAGTAGCTATGAGGAGCACTGGACATCCCCATGTTTTTGTGCATATGCAACCTTTGCACATGAAGCTCCAGGAATTATATACATCGCGATCCCTGCTAGCAAAAATGTATACAGCCATAAAGGTTTGTAAATACCTTTAGAAAGCATAAGATGGCAGCAAAGCATTCTTTTCAACAAGCCAATGATTGGACTCAATGAAGCTGGTGCCTTCAGTTGAACATAGTTTGCAAGATTCCATCGGATGGCACCAAAGCAATACTTTTTTTTTTTAGATTATATTTTGGCCTGAGCACAAAACCCCCCGAATACTGTACAATACATCTGTAGCTGGAACAAAGCGCTTTACAGAACATTTAACATGTGTTCACTCTATGTTGAAATGATACACCTTGACTGAGAGGCACGCTTTGGGTTGTTTGTGGAAGTTATAGAGTCTTCAATGCATTTACATGTACATCCACACTTCTGGTGCATTAAAATAAATATGGCATATAGCTTGCATTGATAGTAAACAGCCTACTATCCAATCATTGTGTACAGGAGCTATCCGAAGCACATCAGATTTTTGTGAAAATGAAGATATCTGATCCCTGACTTCTTTTCCTATGCATGCTGCCACGACACCATGATGCTTATCCCAAGTGTTACTTCAGAGCAAAAAATGGGAATCATTTGCAGCATGAATCCACTTTGTCATTTTTAGCCATTTGTCAAATAAAAATTCACTTTAACTAAAATAGAAATACAAGTGAAAACATGCTTTTGGGATTGGCATTGGCAGTAAAGCTCCAGAGTGGACTTTGAAGGTTAAAATTGAAGGCTGGGCGAAGTGGAAATCCAAGACTGGATCAATAAAAGTGATGGAAAAAGAGGAGGACCATCATTCCTTTGCTCTGCTTTTCAATTGAAGTGGCGTTATTAAGCCTGGCAAACGGTGAACTGTCACCCTCACCAGCTTCAAATTTTTAATCTCACCCCCTCATTGCTTTGATTACGCTCAATCTGCTCTCGTATGTCTCATCTCATCTTCTGACCCCCTTACTCGTCCGCCCACCGCCACGCTTTCCTGCAGCCTCACAAGCAGGAAAGCGGGAGAGGCGGCAGATGGGTATGTTCAGACGTGGCGAGAGCACTTAAAAGTCAATGGGGGCTGGGTGGGGGTAGGGGGTGATGGTGAGGGTGTGTGAATGGGTTATGGCTGATGAGGGGGGTTCATTGCAATGCTGATATATTTTTTTACTGTATTTCAGCACATTTCTCAGGTGTCTGTACTTTCTGACAACTTGTTACTTTGGCTTAAAAAAAGAAAGCATAAGATGTAGCGAAAAGCCTGGACGTATAGTGTACATGCATATGCCTTTTCTTTAAATACAAGTATCTGCACTTCTACTTTAAGTTGAGCATGTGAGTTGTTTTGCCACCTCTGGTTTACTGACATGGTGCTTCACATCATCCAGACTCAGCACAGTGCCCCGATCATTGTTGTTGCGCCCTTTGTGTTTCTTCTTCACGCATCGGCACAGCTTGTACTTGATCACCTGGGAAGCAAGGCACAGGCAGGCAGGCAGGCAGGCAGACAGACAGACAGACAGACAGACAGACAGACAGACAGACAGACAGACAGACAGACAGACAGATGTGTCATCAGAGCACAATACTACTCTTTCGAGCCCACATGATTTGTATTGAAAGCATCTGGCAAATTGAAATGAGATTTTACATTGCTGTAAATATGTTTTTTTCCTATTGACCAGCATAGCAAACAAAAAGATTGAGATTTACAGGCAAAAAGCTCTCAGCACCATAATAGTTCTCTCTGACAAATGAGCGTGGACAGTCTGACTCATCTAAAATATAACAGCTGAAATGTTAATGTATTCAAGGCGTGTGTGTGTGTGTGTGTGTGTGTGTGTGTGTGTGTGTGTGTGTGTGCACGCATGGCAGGGATGAGGAATTCAACAGAAGAATGGCACAGTGCAGGAGCAACTGACAGCAGGAGCGAAAGAATAAAAATAAATGCTAATCCATTTCATATATATTGTGTGTGTGTGTGTGTGTGTGTGTGTGTGTGTGTGTGGCCCGGTGGTCCAGTGGTTAAGCCGTCAACCTCACAGTGCAGAGGTCATAGGTTTGATCCCGGCTCCGGCATTCCTTTATGGAGCTTGTATGTTCTCCCCTGTGCCTGCGTGGTTTTTCTTTGGGTACTCCGGTTTCCTTCCACATTCCAAAAACATGCATGACAGGCTGATGGAACACTCCAAATTGTCCCTAGGTGTGAGTGTGAGCACGGATGGTTGTTGAGTTTCTTTTTTTTTTTTTTTTTTTTTTTAATTCACTGATTGGCCACAAAATCCTGATTGTGTAACACCTAAATACAGATCAGTGATTCCATTTTGAAATGGGTGCATCTTTTTCAACTCTTGCCAATATTATTTTTTTTTAGTCAAGACAGAATAGTGATTCCATTTAAAATGTGTTTTCTTTCGTTCCAATGCGCATCTTTGAGTACTGATTTATTTTATGTGAAATTTGGTGCTCCTTTACAAACAGCCCATGCACATTCAGATGGACAATTGATCATCTTCAATTAACCTACCATGCATATTTTGGGGATGGGGGCAGGGGGGGGGGACCGGAGTACCTGGAGGAAACCTACGCAAGCACGGGCCCAACATGCAAACTCGATGTTGGAAGGCGGGAATACAGATATGAACCCAGGACCTCTCCACTGTGAGGTGGCTCTGTTAACCAGTTGTCCGCCATATTTTACAGTCAATGCACAAAAATAATAACACTGCAAAATTTGTGTTTCTCCCTTTCTTTCCAATATTCATTTTATAAAACACAGTCGTGCTATTATTGTGAAATTTGACTTTTCTTCTGTCTTCTATCAATCTATACTGCACTGTCATTGATAGTCAATAAAGAGGAATCAGAATGGGTGCATTTGTTTTGTTTCTTTTCAAAATATGTGACAGCATATACTATACAACAGGGCTCTGTAATGGTTTGCGCAGTGATGATTCAGGCATCCTTTACCTCGTAGAGGTAGTCAAAGAGTTCAAGGATAGTAAGGATGCTGGCTCCGATGAAGAGGCCCATCTGACCACCGATGTCACCTGAACGGCAGAGGGAAAAAAAACCACGGTTGCAATGTATGACAGAGGTACTATACAAGCACTGCTACCCTTTCAGAAGTTGTTTCAATACCAAAGTCTCCAGCATGCAAATCACTTTCATCTGTCATCTGCTTACCCAAGAGGCCCGCCAGCTCATAGGCCTTCTTTTGTTCGATGGTCTCGTAGTTTAGGGCTTCAAAGAAGATATCCAGGACTAGAAGGTTATCTCTGGGGACAAACGTGCGCAAATGAATGCCCTGAGAAGGCGGGCGCCTCATGGACTCAACGGCGTAAATAACTTGCGGTTGCGAACTAACAATCGAGTTGGCTCAACGTCCTTGTTGGCCTGCTCTCAAAGAAGAAAACATAAAAGGCTATTTTTGAGTCCAAAGGCAGATTATTATCCAACGTCATGAGCATCCGTCTCTCAACTCCACACAGTGCACTTATGCTTAAATTCTGATCAGCCTGCAGAGTTAAAAAAAAATAAAAATAAAATAGAAATCATGAGAACTAATGAGCCGTCAGTGTCCAAAGAGATTCTGGTGAATTTGACAGCTGAATCAAAGTGACTACAGGCAAATGATGGCAGCGCGGCATTTGCTTGCATGCTCATGAAGACATTCGGCATACGTGTTTTCTTGCCACGTTAAATCATGGAAGTCTCAGGTTACTATTTTCCATGTGAAGCGGTCCATGTGTCAGATGCTGATTATGCATGTCAATAAAATGGTAATCAGGCAACATTTCATTCTACAACCTCAATTAAATAGTCAGGTAGCAATATACTTCGTGGCTTCAAAATGATCATCAAATTTTGACAGGGTAAAAAATCTATTTAGCATCACCATTCTATTTAAGATCCTTGCTTACAATTGGGGATCATTTGGCAGAATTCCCTAGGAGGAGTTCATCAAAGTAGGAGCTCTGGTATTTGCCCAAAATGGCTGACTTAAAGTTCAATTTGGGGTACGGTTCACTTTTTTTTTTGTGCATTGTGTAATGATACACGTCCACCGAATTTCTCACTCTTTTTCCCTTTTCGCACGACTGCATGTTAAAAAGCGTGTGGAAATACTGTACAAAAAATGGGACCGGAATCAGGGTCACTTGCAAATTACGCAAGTCTATCCTCAAATACAAGCACACCTGGAAAAGAAACTGTTAAAAGGAGAAATGCTTACTTTTTGGAGCTAGTCTCTCCTATGGAACACATGATAAGATGGCTGGCTCATTGAAGAGAAAAACATGCACTGGGCTACGACCATTACAAGAACTACATCCAGCATAATGGTGAACACCAGTGGTATTTTTTTATTGTTTATTTTTATCTGTTTATATACCAGACTGCCAAAATGTCTTTATGCTAGCGCAAATATACGTTGGGGGCAAAAAAAACCCCCATATATATATATATGGGTGTAAGATGCTGGCAGGGAAAGCCTACATGGAACGCCATAACCAGGTGGCTGGCATAGTCTACCGAAACATCTGTGCAGAGTATGGACTGGAAACCCCAAGGTCAAAATGGGAAACACCTCCGAAGGTGGTGGAGAATGACAGAGCGAAGATCCTGTGGGACTTCCAGATCCAGACTGACAAGATGGTAATGGCGAACCAACCAGATATCGTGATCATAGATAAAGGGCAGAGGAAAGCCGTTGTAGTGGATGTAGCGGTCCCAAGTGATGGAAACATCAGAAAGAAGGAACACGAGAAACTCGAGAAATACCAATGGCTCAGAGAGGAGCTGGAGAGAGCCTGGAAGGTCAAGGTGACAGTCGTGCCTGTGGTGGTCGGAGCACTCGGGACAGTGACCCCCAAACTAGATGAGTGGTTGCAACAGATCCCGGGAACAACATCGGACATCTCAGTCCAGAAATGTGCAGTGCTGGGAACAGCAAGGATACTGCGCAGAACCCTCAAGCTTCCTGGCCTCTGGTAGAGGACCCGAGCTGAATGAGGGATGGACACCACCCGAGGGGTGAGGCTCGGCAAAGAATGCCTAATGTGAAGTCTACAGTCACCGGGATTTGAATGGAATAGTTTTGGACCCTACGTAGTGGCCCAGGTGAAGTCTCCTTTGCATGAATATGATACACTACACAGTCCATATTTTAAGTATCCTTTAAGTGTGCTTTAGCTTGATACAAAGAACCGAGTGTGAAGTCTGCATCCAATGGGACCCCCAACAAACCAAAACTGATCAGCATTATCAATTTGCATCATGGATTCATTATTTTGATAAACACTTGAGTTGTTTTCTTATTCATTATGGAGCAATAGAAGAGGTGGAAAATTGATGGCTGGATGGATCGCCTCCATATAGAAGATATATTATCACAGTCTCTTTATGAGCAACATATTTCACCCTGGCAGCCAAAGAAGTCCCCCTGGTTTACCACTGGAAGGCATAACCGTTCAATAGGTAGGCACGTTTTCCTAAAGGTGTTTTTGCTAGCCCGCGGCTAGGTTGAAGCTTCCATGTTGTCAGGCTTTCCCACATCATGCATATATATTGTGAATGATGTCATGTGTTGCAACTTGCAATACTGTCCAGTATGTCGGCCCACTGTAGATAGCCAGTCCGTGCAAAGATTTGGCTTTTACATCACTAAGCGCTGAACAGCCCACCTGCCAAGACATGCAGGGGTGGCCCTCGTAAATAATGAATCTTGTTTTTTACGCCACAGAGTGAGGATGGCAGTGTGGGAGCTTCTCTCCTACGCTTCTTCTTTGAAAGTTTTCACTTCCACGCGTTCCCTGCAGACAGGCAGTCCACATCCTGCCAAAAACTCATGATTTACACCACCGAGCACTCCACAGCCCACATATGGGGACTCTCAGAGGGTCCGCCGCAGAGAATACACGGCGATAAAATTAAAACACCCACAAAAAGTGATGGATATTTGAATGAATGCCAAGTGCATAGTTGGCATGTTCACGCATGACGTATGCACTCAATGTCACAATGAGTCCACTCGTGCAAATTGGGGCAGACAACGATGCCCCCACCACGGACGACGGTGCCTGACGTTTATTATCTGTGCATAGGGAGGGAGAGTCCTGGATACAAGGAGAGTGGAAGACTTCCAGAAAGACATAGAAGTGGATATCCTTGGCAATTTGCACTGCTCAAACACCTATCGTGAATTTTGCCTTTCAGTTCCTTGTTAGACAACAGCAGGTTGTGCCAACACTACTGAAATGGTGAGCAGTTGTGCATTCAAAACTGTTGGGTGTCAGAGAGCCCCCTACCAGCAGGCTTGCTGAAAAGAAATTTACAGCACATCAAAATGATGCAAACTTATTGATCAGGGAACATATAAGAATACAAAACCCCAAAAAAACAAGAGGCATCGATTTTATTTTTTTGCTGTTCGCAGCAGTGCTCAGTCCCTAATCCCCACTTAGGTTACACCCTGACAGGTGGGTGTTGAGCTTGTCCTAATGGCCTGCAGACAGCATCATCATCATCATCATCATCATCAGCATCATCATCACCATCCTCCTCCTCCTCCTGGGCAATCGGCCCCCGTCAGGGACTTGCCCTCCCTCCTGGGTCCCACACCCGATACGACTCTCGCTGGTACCTCGTGAGGTTCATACCCAGTGCGGGCCCCAGAAGGGCCCTCGCCTGATTATTGTTGAGGGAGGGTTGTGGGGCGGCTACTCCCAATCCCCTCCATTCCGGTGGGGTGAGCGCTGGGAGCCTCACCTTCCGGTGAGACCCCACCTCCTTCCCCGCCGGCTGGTGGGCATTTAGCCGCGTCTGGGGCCCAAAAGGCCCGGTGTTCCCCCCTCGCGCCACTCGGAGGCATCCCACCACGTGAGGCACCATCACCATCACCATAATAATCATCTTCACAGATTTGAAATGAGTCATCATGGCTTGGAACATTAGCAAAGGGAACTGTCATTGAACATTCCAACTAAACTTTCAATGTGTGTGTTGTGTTTTTTCTGCCACCTCAGGGCCGCAATCTTGCCATTCCATGAAGATTTTCCTTGATCCTTCCCCGAGGACGCGCAAGCGATTAACATCAAAACAGAGAGAATAAGGTGGCTGAATTCACATCGAAGTGAAGGAATTAAACGAGTGATTTTCGGGGAGCTCTGGCAGCATCTGGTGTACCGTAATTATCTTGTCCTGAACTGCTCCGCTGAGAACAATAGTTGAAAAATTCAACTTTTAGTGCACCCTCTTTCCAATTTTCTTCATCTACTAAATAATTGAACTGAATCTCTTAAGCAGATTTGGCAGAGAAACACTTGATGCGTGGTGGAATAATCCAATTAATCTCACTGGTTTCTCACCTGGGGACATGAGTGTTTCAGCAAGACCAGTTGCTATATTTTGGAAAACATTATGAAAAAAGACCCTTTTTTTAATGGCTTGTGTACAAATATTGGGCCTCTGGAGTGTCTGCAGCGCCCGTCCATCAAGTCTGAACTCACATAACCAAGTAAATCTTATGTATGTTGCCCATTTCTGAAAATATCTGTGAGGGAACCCTTCAGAGTTTTGCCAGATTATGATGCAACAGTCAGGCTAATTCCATTCCGTTGCAGGTTCCAGAACAGCCTGGTGCCACTCTGCCCTGGCCTCACTTGGTCTGGCCTCTGTTGCTTCTTCATTACAACAGGCACCAATCAATGGGCGGGATCAATGGAACTGAATGAGCTTCCAATGCACTCTTCGCAGTGCCACTGGTACCAAACACCCTCACTGCTCTTCTTTTCATTGAAATTCAAGAAATTTCGTGCCATCCAGGTCTTGATTTCCTTCAGACAGGATAAAAAGTGGCCTTCAGGAGAAAGCGTCTTTTTTGCTCAGCGGGACAGTCATCCACATAGCAGTGGAAGGAAATGTCATGTTTCCTTAAAATGAATTATGTTTGCATGGAGTCACTAACCCTTTTAAAACCTGAATATTGGTAGGAATCAGGTTTTTAAAGGCCATATAAATGCATGCAAAAACCTGAATATGCCTTTATTTGGGTTTTTAAAAACCTGAATAACAGAGGTGGACATTTTTTAAACTTTTGTCGGTCCGTTCTTCGTCCGCGGCCTGGGCACCTGTCCGTCGTCATCAGTCCGTCATTTTTTTTTCAAGCCGAATCAAATTGTAATTGGCGTTATTTTAACCACGTTTCAGTCATCTCTTCCATAGGTAAATTTCACCGATTGTTTTTTGATTTGTGTTCTGTGCATGCTCTTGCTCTATCCGCAATTCATCTTGGTCTTTGTTGAATAGGAAGTATTGTAAGCACGGCACCCTTGCTGTCGCGAGTCTACTGGAATGGGAATGCCATTGGAACTTCCTGCTTCTTCTGTTTGTTGTATGAAGAGCAGTAAATCCTAACGTGTGATCTCATCATGTATGCCGCAGCAAATTCTTGATTGAGGCCCAGACTTCACACTGAGTATATTTGCGAGTAAATTGTGACAAGTTCATAATTTGTGTAGATACGTTTTATGCCATTTTTGTAAGGTGGTATGTCCTGAAAAATGCGTGCTTTGGTTCAATGTATGTTGGGAAACTGACTTGAAATGAGACTTACGCTATGTACTGCTCCGTCTTGTTGAACTTCTTGGCGAGATACTTGGCAGAAGCTTTGCTGGGGATCTTGACGAAAGACATCTCTTTACCATAACGTGTCAAGTTGCATGGAGTCTCACACACGCAGTAGTCATTGTCCCTCTCCACAAGGAAGTCTGGGGAAGGGAAAATGCAAGGTGCTTGATAGGAGTCACGCGTGGATTTATCATGGATACGGCATGACAAACAACTCCTGCGGAGAGAAGGTACGCCACAGTGTTGAGGCTTGACAGGTAAGATTTTGTCATGTGGACATCTGAGAGTGCAAGTCAATTAGGAAACAGACAGCAGACTTGAAGGCATGTCTCAAAGTGACAGAGAATGAGATTTTGTGTTGAAGGCTGGATGCCGTAGGCATGAGCAACACTATTTGCTACATTCTGCTCAAGCGGGGTTTAGAAATACCGACATTTGGGCCACATTCGAGCATTTTTTTCACCTATGCTATCAATGTTAGCAAAGCACTGATCATCTGATGTATCTGAAAGATTATCCTGAGTGATTATACAGTATGTTGGTGTTGGGTGTTCAGAGTGATTTTTCTTTTCCAATCTACGAATATTATTTTATGATCAAGGTCCTAGATTAACTATTTTGAACACTAGCCAATGTTGCTGGTGAAGTTACTAGCCAATTAGAATTTCCACTAGCCATTCTTTAAAATAACTTCAGCTCCGCTGTTTTTATCTATCGCCACCTTTTTCGTGCTGGTTGCACTCCGGACTAAGGGTCACCATTCTTTTTGAAAGTGAACACCGCCTCCTGGGGACCGATTAATGCGAAGGGCTACAAGTTTGACACTTATGAAACAACAAAATTGCGAATTTGAGCTTGAATTATAAATGTTCACAATTTATGATATTTTATCTTTGGGAAGAGACTGATTATGATTTCTGACAATGATTCTCCCAATGATTTAACATGACAGGAAATAGATAAAAATCAATAGGCAACTCTTTGTTTCTGTAAATCCTTGCAAATCATTTTCAAATGATCACTACACTGGTGAGATATTTTTTAGAACAGGCCCATGGGCTACCCATGTGGTCATTGTTCCTTGTTCAATTCCGGCTTGAAACAATTTTCAATTTTGACTCTTTTTGGGTTGTCCAATACATTGCCATTCATTTTTTGCAGCTCGCAGCACAGACTAAAATCACATTTGATACGGTGTCATTTGCCTGCATTGTACTATGGTACCATTGTGCACTAAGTGGCAAGGCAGGAGAACTGAAGAATTTGATCATGCCCTGCCAAAATCTTGAAAAATAATTGTTTTACTTTATTACCTAGCTGTGTATTACCTAAACTACATAGTGTATATAAAAATATATCATAGCTTCACTTATCATTACCTACACTGATGAATTGTGTACATATTTATTTCTAGTAACGTTTTACTTTTTGATTAACTTTACTGTACTTAACCAGTATTAATATCAAACCTCTGAACTTGAATTTATAAGTTACTATTGTTTTAATTTCAGTAGAGAGCTTTAATTTGGAAAACGTCATTACAATAAATTCACATGTCGGTGAGCGCGGATGGTTGTTTGTCTGTTTGTGCCCTGCCATTGGCTGGCAAGCGGTTCAGGGTGTCCCCTGCCTACTGCCCAAAGACAGCTGGGATAGGCTCCAGCACACCCTGCGATCCTTGTGAGGATAAAGCGGATTGGAAAATGGATGGATGGATGGTGTAAATGAGTATACACTTGACTGCGCTCCCCCTGATAGGCTAACCTGCTGTGTAGATAGACAAAAGCAGAGCAATCTGGTAACCCAGTTTAAATTAGCAGTAGGGACAGTGCGTTTACAATTTGCATGTTGTGGACGTACAGGCTCGCTTAGTATAGAAAATACTGTACCTATGCTCATGTTAACTTCATATTTGCATTTGAGTTGACCCACCGTCAGGAGCGGACTGGGGAGAGCGGCCCCAGTCACAAAGTTACTGTGAATATTGATTATAATCATATAATTTTACTGTTTACACACACACGCACGCGCGCGCGCACACACACACACACACACACACACACACACACACACACACACACACACACACCGGTCTTCGGTACCAATCCATAGCATCTCTTACCCAAGGCTGGATCTGCACACTCCTTATACTGCTCAGGGGTGCAGTAGGGGGCATCTCCTGCAGGGCAAAGCAGAGGACAAAAGCATGATCAATATTCATTACCATCTTTAATTGAAACTAGGCACTATATTTAGGCACATTTCCGCATAATAGGACAGTACAGCAGAGCTGCCGACGAAAAGAAACGTACTTCCAGAACAACATGTCTGAATTTTCTGTCTACGGACTAATTAGCCTTTACTGATACTTATGTATTAGAGAAAAGCAAGTCCATTAAATCAGAATCATCAGATACAGAAAGTCAAAATGAAAACTGAGCACTCTATTTTGCAAGCAAACAATTTACCAAAAGTGGGCAATTTACAAAATTTTGCTGGTCCGTCATTCATCATTAGTCAGCGGCCTGGGCCCCCATCCATTTCATGCGATGCACCATACTTTTTATACAAATGTATTCTGCTGCATACTATTTTTGTATTTCCTGGATACACAATTTCAGGTGAAAACAATGTTACATTCACCATTGTAGGACAAATATATGGAATGTTATACTAAAAATATACATACTGTATATACTAATGCGCTCTTAACCTTATTGACCCCAGTTCTCAGGTGGCGCAGGCTGTGACATACTAATTCATTTACAGTTTCAGATAGTGACCTGTGTCACTGTGTATTATTTCAAACAATAATTTGTCTCTTATTTTGCTGTTCAAAGTTGGTTAATCTCTACTACAAAGTGGTTCGGGCTAGACTTCTGTCACAATTGCAATGTATCACCCAATCACTTAATTTGATATTTTGCAACTACATGTCACAATAACTTAGTAATTAGCATGACTTCTCCGTCTTTCTTCTGTTGATTAATCCTCCTCCTCCCTTCGTGATAATGACACAATACTTGTCAGAAGTGTAGTTTATTCGCTGCCATGAGGATGATGATTAGTGACTTTGGCTGCTATGACACCGGACACAAAGCCAACATTCGCCTCCTCGTCGTGTTAAGCCACAGTGTTAGGTTTCGTGAAGACTCGAAATCATCTATAGGTGTGAATGTAAATGTGAATGGTTTTTGGCCTATATGTGCAATGTTCTTGGCTGGCGACCAGTCCAGGATGCACCTCATCTCTCACCAAAAGTAAACTGGGATTGTGTGCTCCAGCTCACCTATCAGGTTAATGTGAACAACCGTTTAGAGAAAATGGATGCATTATGCATATGTGTCCTTGAAGGCAACACTCCAACAAAGAGGGTGACACTGACACAAAGGAGAAGAATGCGGGGCATCCAGCATTAAATGTTTCTTTTCTTTGCTGGATCTCTTTTCATGACATGATGAGAGCTTTATTTGCATAAAGGCAGTTTTTGTCCACCAATTATACGTTTTGTATACTGCTTATCCTGTTCAGGGTCATCCGAGATGACGAAGAGCAGAAGGCAAAGTACATACTGCAATGGTCACCTGCCATACCAGGCCTCCCATGGTAAAGAACACAAGTCGAGTGGGAACTGAGCTGCTTGAAAGTGAACCACTAAACTACCAACTGTCCTAATAAAGCTTTGGTAGCATTAATCTTCATTTATAAATTCATAATCTTTATTTGGCAGCCTGAGGCATGGCATGATATGATTTGGGTAACTTTGTAACTCTTTACAGTAGCAACCTGTGGCTTACGATTTTAAAATCTTTTTTTTTTTTTCCTCTACTATGGAAGCCTTACCCAGCTTTTCAACAAAAAAAAAACTCTGATATTGACAAGATAACAACCTTTGTTTGGGAGGAGCTGAATTTAGCCTGGGTGGTTAGTGGAAATTACGGGAGTCTTCACTACCTGTGCAGGTACAGGACAGGCGTATTTCCAGTGGATTAAAAAAAAAATCTAATCATCAGGATGCATTGTTTTAGAGTAATGGTGTAAAATGAGCTTGAAATATTTAAGTGTTTGGATCATACTTTGTGGTATATTTACAGTGTCAACTTTTAACATAGGAAATTACGTAAATTGTTAGTCGAGATATAAATTATTTGTGGGCTTTCTGTACATCCCCCCCCAACCAAAAAGCATGAATGAGCTTCACAATGCAAAAAGGAACAAGTACAGTAAAAAAGTACTTGATTTCCCCCATCATAAAACTGCTGCTTTTGGCAATTAGCAGTTCTCACCAGGCATGTGGACCATCCTGCAGTTACAGTTCTCCACCAGGTAACGCGTCTCGCAGTCGATGCGACAGGCCGTGATGCTGTACGTGCTGAAGAAGTCCGAGTCCATTGGAGTGGCCTTGCAGTCGCCCCACGGAGGCGGCAAATAGGTCAGCTGGGTGTGTGTGTGAGAGAGAGAGAGAGAGAGAGAGAGAGAGAGAGAGAAGGGCACTTTGTGTCTTGTTAGGCTGGATTTACACAGCATAGTTCAAATCACATTTTCGGTTATTAGTTTTACCCCCCCCACACACACACGTGTTAAATGCACACTGTTAAAATTATGAACAAGGTTTTCGGAGTATAAGCCACATTCTTTCTCATAGTTTGGCTGGTCCTGCGACTTGTATAAACCGTACCGTATTTTCCGCACTAAAAAGCGCACCTAAAAGCCTTCCAGTTTCTTAAAACATCAGCGCGCCTTAAAATCCGATGCACCTTGTGTATGGTCATTACGGTAAGATGTCGACCCCAAAATGATTCCTTGCTAGAGACATGCTGACAACGCAGAGTTCAAACCTAAGGCGATCGGGTTACGCAGTTGATCACGGAAATAGAGCAGCGGCAAGAGAGTTCAATGATACGAGCCAATGTTATAACTTGCTGTTGGTTAAGTGAACTGTGTCACTATTAAATTTGTTTTACTGACATTTAATTGTTCTGTAGCATGTACAGCACTTTGTATGCAGCGATGGCTGTTTGAAAGTGCTCTATAAATACAGTTGAGTTGAGTTATAGTGCGGTGCGTCCAATATATGAAAAAAATTACAAAATAGTCCATTCAGTGAAGGTGCACCTCATAATCCAGTGCACCTTTTAGTGTGGAAAATATGGTATTTAAAGTAGAGCTCGGACTGACACCCTGAATCCCTGTTCACCGATAGTGTTGACTTTCTCTGCACCAAAAGTATTTATCAACTGCCAAAAGACAGTAGAAGAAGAAGAAATGGAGGAAGAGGAAGAAGTCTTGCTTGACCGTGCGTGGCCACCTTCTTGATAGCATGCACCAAGAGTATTGCCAATCGCCCAAAAAAAGTAAAAGGGAATGGAGGAAGAATTAGAAGAGGAAATAGAAGATGACGAAGAAGTAGTCATCATGGCAACTGTGCGACATTAGCTGCAGCCGTTAACCTGCGGTCACAAGAAGGATTTACTCTTTACAGCAGCAAAATGTGCAATAACCAACCAAGATTCTACCTCAGGCCATAAATGCGACACAGGGTTGTAGTTAAGGTAAGCCATTTTAAACTAAAAAGAAAAAACTTTTTTGTAGTTAGAAGTGGAAGTTTCTAAATGCAACTGGAACTGGAACTCGTTTGCTGCTGTCAACACAGGGTGCGCTCAGAAATTCACTCTGACGCCCTCACGCCGCCCTGAGGTACAGTGCGTGACAGTCTATTGCTGAGATGGCCTGCAAGTTTACTAATTCAAACCTAAGGGGCACTCAGAAATTCACTGACGTCCCTACACTACTCTGAGAGTGCATGTGTTCAGAGAGGCGGAGTTTTTAATTCAGTTTTAGACATTCATTTCTGAATGAAAAAAATGCAGATATATTCAGAGAACACTAAATAATTATGACAGTGAAGTAGATTTGGCCGCCTAACTAATGAACAATCTGACAAATGTTTCAGCTCTACATGCGTCCAACAACAAGTCGAACCTTTGTGCTACATTGCTGCAGAATATGCCAAAGCGCGCGACAAGAACAATGAATAAATACAGCGAGTGTGGGCCAAAAACCATCTCACTCAGATTAATGTAGTCGTATATCAAATGATACAATGTATTTATGACTTGTCTGGCAGAGCGATCACATTTCATTAACCTCTGCTTATTCGGTGTATGTGTGTGCTCACACGGTGACAATCAGTCTCTTTTCCAGGGGTGGCTCGATGGCAATATCAGCACAGGCAGTGACAGATCTGAATGAATGTTTCCAATTTAACATTTTCTTTACCGCAACGCAATGGCAGGAGCTGCTCCACTCTGTTATTTTAAGTAGCTATGGGGAGGTACCACTTCTTTGTTTCAGGCTGTGAACAAATGCCTCAATGTATTCATAAATCCAAAGTAATAAAACAAAGAAAAGTGGAATAATAGCACACATATGAAAGGTTTACAATGACAGAAACATTCATTCATTCATTTTCTGAATTGTGGAACTTCACTAGGATTGCACAAGCATTCACACCCACATTCATACCTAGGAACTATTTAGATTCTTTATGCATGTTGGAACGTGGGAGGAAAAAGGGCAACGTTTAAAACAAATGTATACAATGAAGAAATACCAATGAGAAAAGGAAAAAAAAAAAATCAACCCATATAATATCATAGCAACAAGGAAGAAATACCAATCAAAATATAATTTATTGCTGAAAAAGTTACAGAATAGCTCTGCATTTTTGGAAATAAAATCCTGAAAATTATATTGAAAAATAAAAATAAGCCTTTTGTATAAAATGTCAATATGCACAAAACAGTGAAGTTTTACGCTCTCTGTACGTTTTTGTAAAATAAAATAAACAAATTATATAAATGCGATATAAATTAAAAACATGCACTAAAAACAAAGACTATTCAAGTTTTAGAATGGCTCAGCTTTGCATTACAATTTGACAAAAACATCAAAATACTCAAAGAAACAAAGAAACCCCCCCGAAGATGATTATTTTATAAAATCATCTCAATAACATATTACAAACATATGAAGATTCGCTTTTAATCCAATACAGAAATTTAAGAAAAGCTGTATTTTTCAGAAGATGGTTCGAGAAAAAAACAAATAGATCATCGTCTCAAAAAGTACCTAAATATTGCAACACAAAGAATGAAAAAAGTAAAAGAACAATTATAGAATTAAAAATATTAAAAATGTACTGTCCTTTTCTAATTAATTACTTACATTTTAGTGGTAAATGGACATAAATCTGTGCCATGAAGGTGAGTGGTTCGCACATCCGCCTCGCAGTTCAGAGGTTGGGGGTTTGAATTTGGGCTTGGGCTTTTCCCAGTACTTTGTCTCTCATTCCAAAATGCATGCATGTTATCTTCATAAACCCTTTCAGGGACAGCTGTTACTACAGAGTACAGCTTGTCATGTTATCTCTAGCACACAGGTGTCAAACTCAAGGCCCGGGGGTCAGATCTGGCCCCCCACATCATTTTCTGTGGCCCGCGAAAGCCAATCAAACATGTCGACTTCCATGATGCTTGCTAAAATCTCTTCCAAAAAGGTCAAATTCTTCGATGTACTAAATTAGAGACTGTAGTGTAAGCATTTTCTTGTTACGAAACCCCTCATGACAGTAACTTCAACAACAGTGGAATAAACCGTTCTTTATATGCTCTCAGTCATAACGGCCCACCAAGGGAAATGGTAACAGAAATGCGGCCCGCAACAAAAATGAGTTTGACACCCCTGCTCTAGCACAACCACATCCTTTGTGGGGATAGGCGGTATTGAAGATGGATGGATGTAACTCATCTTGCACAATCTGCATTAAACAACGCCAGTGAGAGATATGACACAATTGTTTGCATGATTTCATCTGGAGTGCAAACCCAGGGGATTTAAATGGTCACCACTGTATAATCGGACATAATCCTCAGGAGGGGAAAAGAGGCAGAAAATAACAAAAAAAAAATTCCATTTTAGAATTCAAGTCCCATATAAAAACATGAATTACTGTCATCTGCCTTAATCTGTTATTGTTTTATTGGAATTTGTTAACTATTTTAAGGTTTGACATCAGTAATATTCAACAAGTTTGCAAAGACAAATCATGCGAGTGGAGTGTGATTTCTATTTTGCAAGCCATTAAATATTAACACAAATTAATTACACTTCAGCTGCCTGACTGCGAAGCATTCGCTGAAGTAGGAGGACATAAACAAGCCCTGTGTGCGGCTCCATCTCATCAGTTCAAACAATTCATCCCGCGGCAATAAATTAGAAGCCGCTGTGTGATTTAAAAGGACGGTGTCATACAAATTTCTATTCAAACTCTCGGGTGTCTCCTAATAGACTTACACGGCTGAACTTAAAAAATGGAAATGTAAAACGGACAGTGGGGCACATTCCAGGAAATAATAAAATCTAACCATTGCTGGGTCACAATCTGGTTTTTCCCATTAAGAACTTTTTGTTTTGGCTCAATTGAGTAGAATTGTGTATTTATTAATGATGTCCACTTATTGCATCAGGGTAATATTTCAGAGACATCTGATAATTGGGCCTTTGTTGACTTTGACAGCATAGCCAGAAATTTTTCTATGGGGGTGGCCAGGATGACATAACACCTCAGTGAGGTTTGACCAGAGGCGGCCGTGCATGCATTAGGAATTCTTTATCATCACATCCACAGACAGAGTTTCAGGAAATAAAATTTACACCTCGCTGTAATAATGTCCATCAGACTTATAATCAAGCAGGAACAAGTCAAAATAAAAAGCAACATTTTGCTGAGCTTAATTGAATAGATGGTGCCATTTTCTTTGCAGTGGCTTTGCTCATTGTCCACAATCTCATGCACGGATTTGTTAGCTAACAGTCAATTAGAGTGTTTGATTGTCACTGATGGCCGACACCATTTTGCATTCTTTGATCAATGGCTCATTTGTTCAAATCATAACTAAAGAGCAACACAACACACACAAAAAATGCTTGATTCATCCCAATTATAAATGTTGCTTTTTATTTAGGTTTGTTCCTGCTTGTATTGTGAATGTGTGTGCAAGATTGTTGTATTATTTCATGACACCATGACTGTGGCTTGTACGGTAAACAGTTACTACTCGACCATGTTGTTAACTTACAGTAATGTGAAAGTCATGATTTTCACTGAAATAATTGAATGCGCTTTACTTGCACCTCTTTATTTTGTGGTTTGCATTAAGGTCAACTGAACGCCTGATCATCTGTTATTTGGGCCTTTGATGATTGTTCTCGTAAGGGAGGTAAAACGCCTCAATCTTTTATTGTTTTATTGGAATTTGTTAACTATTTTTAAGGTTTGACATCAGTAATATTCAACAAGTTTAATGTGTACGATGATCGGTCCAGACTGTTTTCCAAGCAGATCATGGAGGAAAAGTCACTCTCAACCCACTCCA